TGCAACATATTTAATAATGGTTGTGCTAAATAACCGTTGTGATATATAGACCTGATTTTATTATAAATTATATGGAATGCTTATTTCGCCAATGTTTACTGAACATATAAATTTTCAATCTGCACTAGAATATTATAATATGATAAATTAAGTTATATTAGAAGAATAAGTTCACGTTCAATGCTAGACCAGAGTTCTTCAACTCCTTATCTGTATTTTGTTCTTTGATAGTAAAAACTTAGTTTAATGATCCTATATCTTCAACCGCCCCTGCCTTTACCTCTAGTTCTTTTTGCAAAATATTATTTACTTTGCAAAAAAATTAAAGGTGGAGAGAGGGGTGGTTGAAGATCTATAATCATTAAACCAAGTTCTAACTGTCAAAGAGCAACATGCAGTTAATGGTGTGAAGAATTTTTGTCAAGAATTGAATATGTAGTTGTTTTCAAATACAACTTTATCTATCATATTATAATTTTATAATGCAGTTTGGAAAGTTATATATTCGGTAAGGGATCGGAAAAACACTCAAACCATGTAATATATAATAAATTCATCTTTTAAACAAACATTAACAACAACATTCATTCACAATAAACCATAAACAACAAACACGGCACAACAAACATATCAAGTCATAGACTGCTTCAGAAACGTATCATACATGTCTCATAATGGCGTGTCCATAATGAAATAAGGATGAAGCTAAAGTTAGAGCCACAAACTTGGGTATTTTTTTGAATGGATGTCATTCTGGATCTTTGACACAAGTTTGCAACACTAACTTTAGCTTCGCCCTCTTTATTGAAACAAACATCAATACCTACAAGTCAAAACAAGAAGAAAGCTCAAACATCATGAAACAAGTTACCGAAATAGATTTTGAAAAAAAACTATAGAGAAAACGAACCTGTAAATACCCATTGGCTAAGATTTGATGTTATGGTTTCGTTTTGAGGTTTCCATATGAGAGAGAGACGAGCGACAAAGTTGTTAGGGTTTAGTTTTGAGAGAGACGAGTGAAAGAGTTGTTAGAGTTTTGTTTTGAGAGAGACAACTGTTATGTACTAAAGCGAGAGATAATTTCGCTTATATATAAATAAGTATCACCTTTCATCACGGTTGAAAACAAAAATATTGGTGATATACAAGGTCAATCATATTTTTATCACGATAAATGATTAATTGTTGGTGTTGGGATTCGAACCGTTTTACTTCGCGTACATTTCACTATGGTTCTTACATATGACCGTTGTGACATGTCTTCTTAATAAATATAAAAAAAAATCTCCCAAAAATAAACTATTAAAACAATTAACACTATGACCGTTGTAAATTTGGTTTTAGGAAAAATGTACTTTGTATTAGTAGGTATCTGAAAGTCTAGTCTTGCGAATGGACATCTTCCAATCAAGTAAGATGCTTTTGCACCAGCCTTACCCTAAACGCCTCATACCCACTCAACTCCTAAAACCATGCCATAAGCGGCTAAATACATATTTATCCCTTGTATCATGCAAAACTCATTAAAGTAATGTGAAACAACCTCCATGTATATACCATATCTTGAACTCAAATCCCATAGTGTGTTTTTGTCTTAAAAGCCTTCACTAGATGATGATAAATGAACAACAACACTAGAACCTTTTGAAATATATAAATCACATGTTTTAGAACCTCTAGTCATGATCATTCCACCATCCAAAATCATCAACATCCCATATTAAATTTTAGTGGAACATCCTATATCATCAAACATGCTTATGTATAAGAAATTTTTCCGAGCTCTAAAACATACCTCACATTATATAGAAGGAACTAATGATCCTCGAACATTTTATGTATGATTGTACCAGCACCATGAACCTTACAAGCCTTATTGTAACCAAGGCAAACTAATTTATCGTCCTTCAACTTCAAAATCTCAAAAGTATTCTTTTCTTGGACACATGTGACAAGAGCATCACGAGTCCAAAACCTAACTGTTTTTTATTTCCAAACTCGAAAGCATTATTGCATCAACACTCTCGTTCATATCCTCATATGAGGCAACTACAATCTGAACAAAATCTTTATTATACCCCCTTTATTGGGTTAATTCTTCCTGAAGTGATCGATTTTCTGGAAAAAAAACATTTAATCATTGACTTAACAAACCTCTTGGATTTGAACATTCCTCTAGGCTCACTTTATTCTCTTGAGACACTCAAGTTGTCGTTAATATCATTAATATTTAGATCTTTCACCTTTGAAAATTCTTTAGATCTAACAAGCTCCATAATTTTATCCAAAGTAGTAGTACATTCATTACCATAAATAAGAAAATCCTTTAAGTTCTCAAAGGATTTAGCTAATAAGCTTAACAAGAGTAAATACATGTCCTTGTCACCAATCTTCACCTTAATATTCTCTAGATCATCAATGATCTTGTGAAATTTTGTCAACTGCTCCATTATGGATTTGTTCTCTACCATTATTGATGAATGGAGTTCTCGTTTCAAACACACCTTGTGAGCAAAAAACTTATTGATATATAACATCCCAGTCTTTTCTACTTGTATTAGGCATGCAGACATTGATGACTCATCCTTCAATGCTTCAACACACTTCTATTGAGTTAATATTATTTGCATCTTTAATTTTCAGAACCTAAAGTCATTGTCTCAGGAAATTTCTTGATGTCCCATTTAGTATCCATGGTGCTCACTTCTAAAAGAATTCTTTTGCTCCATGGTAGGCGCCACTTGTTATGAGGTTGAAAGGTTCAATCACACAAATCTATAGTTGAAATCTAACAGTAATTTTAATTTCTTTTATTGATTAAATATGAGACAAAAGAACAGTGAAAACCAAAATAAATAGTATCAAACACGAAAATAATCTATAATCAGTGTAACCAAATCCACAACAAGTAAGAGGAAGATAATAGACGAGAAAACAAACAACTAATTTATCCAATTTGATCAAACCGATATACTCTAGGGGATAGAGCAACTCTATGATTTATTGTACTTTCAAATAATTATTATAAGAGAGCTCCAAGAAAGTAGTCACTCAAATCTCCTAAGAACAAACCTTATTTATAACCCCAAGTGTTTTCAAATTTCTCAAACTCTCTATATATAAATCACACAAATCTTAGGTGTTTAAAAGTGTTTCTCAATTTCCTTAGATACCTCTAAAGGTCTCCCTAATTCCAAGAATAAACTCGTAGAGATTTATACATTTATCTCTGTAAGTTTCGTTACTAGAATAACAACATATTGCCTCTGTTATTCGTATTTTTGTTCTAAAGATTGTTATAACAAGAACGATAAAAATACATATATATTTATAATTACGTCTAAAACGCAACAAACCTATAATAGAAAAAAAACATGACTCATTAACGAACAAATCTGTGAATCAAAACAACCAAGACCAATACCTATAAACCGCCTGAACTGGACCTCTGTCAGACCCGATCGTAGTTTCCCGCCGACTATCGTCAACCTTTCATCATCCTACTCTAAATGCCGTCGAAACCAACCTTTTCGTGGACTGTCAGAGCTTCCTCTTCTGCCACAGGTCAAATTCTGACATCTTGAACCACCATGTAGAATCTCAGACCACCATCATTTGCTCCTTGCCACTAGACTATGATCGTGGCTCCAATACCACCGCCTTTGTCACTTGACGTCACTAACTACGTCATGACTAGTTGTAGAACTGCCACCCCGCATAATTGGTACCTCCTACCACTCCATCACAACACTGACCCACCAACTATCCTGCGAGACATATTAGTTAAAATTTCTGAAATATTTCATCAACCTACATATTAATTAAATTCGATTTATATTTAATTAAATTTTAATACTTTCTTTATCTCATAAAAACATGTTTTACTTTTTCTCTATTAATCTAATATTTATTTTAGATTATTAATATATAATTTATTATTATTTTTAACTAATAAATATTTAATATCACTTTATTTACTATAATTAATAAAACTTTAATTAATTGATATGCACTGATAGTATAACTATCAGTTAATCACCACCGCTGATTTATTTAAAAGATTTAACTTTATATTTAACTATTTAAAAAATAATACCAACGAATAATTATAATACATTGACATTATAAAATTTATTATAAAACTTTTTATATTAATAGTGCATAACAATTAATTTCAATTAAAAATGATATTTGGTATTTCATTGCTTATAAAAAAGAACATTGATATTTGGATAAACAATATTAATTGTACTGTTAAATCAATTCCATTATTTATTACCTTAAAAACTCAGCACAATGTGAAATTTTCTGTGAGACAAACGAAAGAGTAAGAAAGAATAAAACCCTATTCTTCTTACTAGCTCACTAGACCCAATTGAGCATGTCCTTTCTGACCAAAAGATTGAAAAGAATAACTTAACTATGAAGATCAAATAATCAATATCATGCTTATTTGACAAGCTCGATACAATATACTTGAAAGTTGAAACTATGGATACTTCCGTAAGAATCAAATATACCAATATGCTCAAGATCAAATCATCGCACTGTTGATGATGGAGTATGTAATATATACCACAATCATCACACCGAAAGAAACGATTCATCATGTATTCTATATTCATTAAGCAAGACTGTAATACATGGTGATGATAAAGAATTTAAACCTCATTGATTATGGAAAGACGTGGAACGTATAGGGTTCATATAGTAGGATAAGAATTGATCTATGAAAAATATGGATAAGGATTTTGACAAAATGAGAATATAATAACACACGCATACAATTCTTCTTTATTATTGTTATTTTTTCAACCTTTTCATTTTTCATGCTTATTTCAACGTATGCTATACTATGTTTTATACGTAGTGTCGGTTTCTTGTGCTCATAATTATGTAGACCTATAAAATATGGCTGTGGTTTTCAGGTTTGTACTCACAAAAGAATAGAAGAAACTGAGATATCAACACTTTCTATTTACTTGAGTATTTAGGAAATGAAACATCAAGTAGATTTTTCAATTCCAAAGATTGGCCAGCAGAAAATAGACAAGTCCAATGAGTTGCAGAAGTGGAGTTCTCATTCACAGCCTCAAATTCTCTGTCAATACAAATTTTATCCAACCTATTTGACAGCTGAGGTGATCCAGATGAAGGTAGAAGATGTGAAATGCAATGAAGTTGTTTCAAGATTCATAATAGAAAAAACAAAAGAGTTGCAACAGAGAAGCTTGGTTGGGTAAAGAGATGTTCATGATGGAGAAAGCTTAAGCATAGAGTAATAAGTATTGTTATTTTCTTTCTAATGAAAACTGTTGGAGGCATGATCTTTTATCCTCTTGCAAATGGTTATTACTCTTCTTGTAATAGTGTATACAATGAAACAAGTATTTGTAATGTTTCATGTTTGATCAGTTATGGAAGATCCTAAGAAAAGATTTTTGCAGCTTATAAAGTATTAGCTTTTGATCTCATGGTTTTACTTCATTTTTCATATACTTATGCTATCAGATGTTTTGTTTATCCATTCAAAAAGGTAAATTATATATTTAATTCAACAAGATAACATCTAAATTGTATCTTAGTAAGATCATTACAATATCTAGTTCATCAAATCAAATAGATTTCAGTTTTAGTTATTTATCTCATAATCAAGTGTTTTTTTTGTCGGTTTCCATAATGCGCTTTGACGAAGAATTTGTTGATAAATTTGATTTTTTTTTAATCGTAGAGGAAAAGAGAAAATTTAAAATTGATTTTAAAATAAAGAGTTTTATTAATAATGTCTGATAGTAAATTTATGTTTATAATTGTAAAACTCATGTCAAAAAAAAATGTATAATACTCTTGAAATTATCATATGGAGTTTCCTCAAGTATTGGACGAGTGGAATCGAACACACGAGACGAGGAAGATGAATGATTCGTTCATAAAAATTTCTACAAATTTAGAAATGTTAGAAACTATAATAGAACGTTTAATGTTACTAAAAAGTACCTATGAGTTAAGAATTGGAAATCCATTCCAATCCTTAAATCAAGAGACGAAAGTGCTTATGAATTTCAGAACACTACAACATTTGTTGTCTCTAGCAACACTTGAAAAACGTTGTCAGAACTCTGGAAATCGTTGCCTAAAAGAATAGGGGACGTTTTCTAGGTGTCTCCTATGCGAGCGTTGCCTATAGTCTGAGGGGACGTTTTTTCATGTTCTATGGGCACGCTTTTTAAAAACGTTGTCTAAACAAAAGGAATAGGGGACGATTATTTTTGTCCTCTGAGGCGACGGTTTTTAAGCGTTGCCATATGCGGCTACAAAGAATCAAAGAAGGATGAAATCAAAGAAATTTTGAATGATTTAGTTCAATTACTTAAGGATGAATGCATAAGTTCTCAAATTAAATAATCCTCAACAACTTCATCAAACCCCTGTTAAATGACTCTCGTACTTTCCTTCGAAAGAACAAACTCAATAGTTGAACAATCTTCGAAAAGTTCAACATCAAATAAATGAACTTCATCTTTGAGAAGATGTGAAGAAGAAGCATCGTCCAATGAAATCTTCGAAAGAAGAAGAGAAAACAAAGTCTCCACAAATGAATAAGAGACAACCTCATGAAGAACCATATAAGAATCCTCTTTAAACACTGTTAAAACATAGATTTTTTGTAACACTATATTACAACGGTCTTTTTGTTAACCATGGTAATAACTCTTTTTTGGGCGTTTTTTTGTTGCTATTTACTAAAGGACATTTGACTATGGTCATAGTTAACAACTATGGTGAAATGTACCTAGAGTGTAAGGGTTTGAATTCTAGCACCAACAATTTTCTATTTTTTATTACAAAATGGATTTGTCCTTGTATATCATCATGGTTCATATTATCAATTATGGTGTAAGGTGTTATCATTTCATCACGGTTCTTATTATCAACCATGGTGAAAGGTTTTACATATTTATATATAAGCAAAATTATCTCTCACTTCAGTACATAACAACCGTCTCTATGAAAATAAAACCCTAACACCTCTCTCACTCGTCTCTATCATATATCATAATATCCATTAACGTTTTGACAACCTTTCTTCACAAACATGCAAACTGGAAATCCCAAACTCATGCAGTGAACTCGTCTTCTTCGAAGGGTTATCTTTTTTACATCAAATCTTAAGAAATGGCTACATAACAGGTTTGTCTTCACAATAGTTTATGCTTCAAAATCTATTTAGAAGTTAGCTTAATACAAGTGAATGTATAACCTAAGAAATAAACTATTTTGTTTATATATCAGTGTTTACGTTTCAATAGCTTATTTCGTAATGTTTGTAAGATAATATGACATCTATAGCTTATGATGATTGATCTTTTTGATGATTTTGACTTGTAGGTATGGAAGGTGAATGAATTTTTTTTACGAGGATGAGGCTAAAGTGAGTGCTGCAAACTTGTGTGAAAGACACAGAATGACATCCATTCAAATTTAACACAAGTTAGCAACTCTCACTTTAGCTTCATCCTCCTTTCATTTTTGATGTCATTCTGGGACATGTACGTTTCTGAAACATTTTATGAGTTGATATTTTATTATTGTTAGTAATAAAGTTGTATGTCGTTGTATGTAGTTTATGCTACGTTGTTGGTTATATTTTGCTCTTTAATGTTTAGGACTTGGTTTAATGCTTCTAGTTCTTCACCCTCCCCTTTATCTATCTCTAATATTATTTGCAAAGTAAATAATATTTTTTAAAATAACTAGGGGTGAAGGAAGGGGAGGTTGAAAAACTAGGAGCATTGAAACAAAATCTAATTATTAAAGAGAAAAACGCGGATAATGGGATAGTATTATTGTCTAGCATTGAACAGTGTAACTTGTTCTTCTAATATAACTTAATTTTTCATATTATGATGTTCTAGATTAGATTGAAAGGTTATATGTTTAGTAGTTATTGGGGAAATAAGCATTCAACATGATTTATAATAAACTCAGTGTATATATCAACGATTGTTTAGCACAAGCGTTTTTAAATATTATGCTTTAAGAATATCAAATGATTGTTTAAAGTAATCATTGTGATAGGTAGCATTCTATCTAGTTTATAATAACGGTCGCACGATCGTGGTGGGAAATATCAAACTTATAAACAACCCTACCTCACAATGGTTGGCCGGGCGTTGCGGTATCCCTTTTCCAAACGTTGTGAAACGAAGAAGGCGGAGTTTTCTTGAAAGTATCTCACGAGGAAGATGATCTTAAGGTAACAAAGTCATCTTATAAAAAGTTGTTTAAAATAAGTTCTACGTTAATTGAAGAGAATGATAAGATAAAAAAACGTAACTTAGACCTTAAGGAGTATCTAGAGTTTCTTGAAGAAAGTAATAAACTTTTAACTTAGAAATGGATAATTTTTGAAATTCAGCAGGAACTTGTGAGACCTATTTCTCGTTGAACAAAAATCTATGTAAATTCACTAAGGGGAACAAAAATCTATCAAGTCAAAGGCTTTCCTTAAATAAAATTGGACTAGGCTTTAAACTCGTTAGAGCACCTAGTAAAGGATTAAAATTGAAGAAATCAAACTAACATATTTATAAGTGATCTCATTGTAATAGACCAGGCCAATTAGAGCGATTTTGTTTCGAAAAATTAAAAATGTCTAAAGATAATAGTTCTAGACCTTCTAGAGCAACTAACACACCAGGACCTAAGAAAATATGGGAAACAAAGGTGAAACCCTAGTATGTTTTTTAGGGTTGGTTTGCAGCTTTTATGAAGCCTAGAGCATATTAAATAAATTTGTGCAAAGTAGAGAGTATACTATTCAGTATAAAGTGGTTTAAAGTCTCTAATCTAAGAATGATCGAGGGATCTCACACCGGCTACTACCACCTAAAAGCATGATAGAGCAACAATCAAACAATCTAGCACCTAAAGGATGACAGACCCATCACCATAAGGATGACGAAGCAAACTCACACCAGCTACTACCATCAAAAGGATGACAGAGAAACACTCGCATAATCTGACTCCAAAAGGATGACAGACCCTTCACTGAAAGGATGATGGAGCGAACTCACACCGGCTACTACCAGCAAAAGGATGATAGAGAAACACTCGCACAATCTAGCACCAAAAGGATGATAGATCCATCACCAAAACGATGATGGAGGGATCTCACACCGGTTACTACCACCAAAATCATGATAGAGCAACACTCACATAATCTGGCACCAAAAGGATGTCAGACCCATCATCAAAAGGATGATGGGGCAAATTCAACTCGGCTACTACCACCAAAAGGATTATAGAGCAACACTAGCACATTCAAAGCAAGAGTTTTAATTGAGGGTGATCTCAACATTTATGATCCATGATCAACTAACCTTGTAGTAGGTTAAGTTGAATATGTATATGATAAGTAGAAAAGGGCGTGTCATAATGTGTTGGTGTTCCCTTAAAAGAAGGAAGCATTATCAAGGTTTATTGATAATTTAGGTAGAACATTATGTTATAGTTGAAAAGGTGCAAATAAACTAGGCAGAGGTGCAAAAGAGAAAGCAAAATAAAATGTTGCACAAGGCATAAAAAGCACCAAGGAGGTTAATTCGCATAAGCCCAATTTATTAGAGCTTTGAGCCAAACAATTAAATAACCTTTGCGCGATACTTTTCAAATCCAATATGATTGAAACTTAGCCTCCAAGTCAATCAGATGTTTGCATTAATGAAAATTGATTAATATCTATAGAGAATTAATCACGTAATTGATTGGAGGCATAACCCAATCAACTGGGAAACCACTTTTTTCATGACTTTGCTTTGATTTTGATTATGCAAAATCTCCATTGATTACATGCAACGCTTACATGCTCAAATTATTTTAGGTCCATGCTATAAATAGGTAACCATTCATAAGTGTTTTACATTTAATATCTTAAACTTCTCTCTAAGTTGTGTGTGTGAAATTTTTCTTTCAAAATCATCATCATGGCTCTTAGGAGGTTGAGATTTACCTCTAGCCCTCTCTCTAATGGCTTCACCTTTCAACATCATGAAGAAATATTCCTCCAAGACATTACAAGAAAAGTCATCTTGAGAATTCACACCTTGGATTCAGAAGATTTTAAAGAATGTGAAATCTTCAAGATTTTTTGAAGAAATAAATATGTCCACCTTCTTTTACATCCCCTTACGAGAGGTGTATCCTTCATTGGTTAAGATGTTTCTTTTAAATATTATTTTCA